CCCCTGATATTATCAATTTCATTTACATCTGCTTCAAATCCTTCCATTTTTTGATCTTTCACAAAGTTGATTATATGGAAGCCAGTGTAGACTTTTGTCCACTTTTGTTAGTTCTTCTATTGGTTTAATCATGTATGAGCCATTCCTTTGTTTGGTTATTATGTCTTGATAGTGGAGCCATTCCTTTACCTCATGCCATCTTCCACAGAAGGCTTCTTGGGGAGAGACCCATAATGGTATTTTTCTGTAGAATTTGTTTTTTGATTCCAAACATTTAACAGTGCTTTCCTTATGTAGTGATGACCAAAATCTTTATGCACTTTCTCTTTCACATAGCACATGTCAGTGTGCCATACGAATTTCAAATTAAACCCTTCCAAGGTTAGAGTTCTCTCATTTCATTTTCATTTCAGTTGTATCCAATCCAGAATCCATGTCATGGCATTGGCATGGTAATACAATTTTAAGTCAGGTAAGTTGCAATCTCTGTTCTCTTTTCTATCTATCAAGGTTTTCCACTGTTATATCCTTTTTTTTCATTCTGTAAAAAAAAAAAATCATTTATTATAATTGGTAAGTTTTGGAAAAGAAAGTTCATCTTGGGCAGAACCAACATCTTAATGGCTTCTATTCTTCCGAATAGTGTCAAATTAAGTTTGGCTCGTTTTTTAAGATTTTCTCTTTCCACGTCTTCTTATAGTTATTTTCAAATAAATCTGTATTTCTTTTTGTTATCCAAATTCCTAAATATATAATTTTAAAATCAACTTTATAACCTGATATTCTTTGAAGTAAATCTTCTTCTGTTTTTGAGATGTTCTTTGTTAACATTATTGTTTTTTTTTTCTTTATTTACTTTAATACCTGATAATTCTTCAAATCTTTTCAGATTAGCCAATAAACTTATAACTGAATTGACAGGATTTTCAAGAAAGAAGATCACATCATCAGCAAAGGCATGAAGTTTATACTGTTGGTCCTTCACTTTTATTCCATCTATTGTGCTGTCATTTCTTATTCTATTATTTAGTGTTTACATTATCAAAATGAATAAAAGAGGGGACAAAGGATAACCTTGTCTTGTTCCTTTTTCAATGCCAATTTGTTTTGTTTTTCTCCATTAATAATTAATTGTGCCAATTGCTCAGTGTAAATGCTTTCCACGCATTTTATAAAATTTTCAGCTAATTTAAAAATGTCCCAGTTTCTCTCTCCTTCTCCCACTTTCCCCCTTTGTCCCCAGCATAGTTTGATTGCTGCAAACTGAGTTCAACATATCAAAGTGGTTTGCACTCAGTTAACCTAGGAAGGGGAAAGGAGAGGGGAATATTGCCCTTCCCAAATATTCTTTTGGGATATCAGAGTAGTTTCTGCATATCCTCTGGCAGAGACAGTCCCAATTAATCCTCTGCCATCCCACTTTTTCTGCTCCTTTTAAAATGTCCCAGCGTCTTTCCCCTCCTCCCGCTTTCTCCCTGACCCTCAGTTTACTTCAGTGGGTGCAAACTGAGTCCAAAGTGCAAACATGTCTTGCTACACAAAACCACAGCATCACTGCTGTGTGTTAAGGTTACTTTTGGAATCTTTTTCTTCCCTGTCGGCTCAGGCAAACATAAACTGCTGCAGCCTCTCCTAGTGTGTGTGTTCTTCCTCATCAATAACTTTTGCCATCTCGAACCCACTCTGGCGTTGCTTGGCCTCGTGTCTTTTGGCTTTTCATCTTGGAAGGTATGCAATTATAGTAGCCCCTCCCAATTCATGGGGGATCCATTCCAGACCCCCCCCCTCCCCGTAAAAATGGCGACTCACAGATATTCACGTCCCATAGGAAATAATGGTGCACACGCAGCCATTTTGTTTATAGCTGCTTGTCCCTCTTGCAAAGAACGAGACCGTAGATTCCAAGTCGGTGAACAAGGAGGGACAATTGTATAGCACTATGATTCCTCTTTAACTACCATGGCTGTATCCAATGAAATCCTGGGATTTGTAGCTTGGTGAGGCACTAGAACCCTGTGGCTGAGAATTCTAAATGCCCTTCCCTAAACTGCAAATCCCAGGATGTTGTCATCCATCAAAGTGGAATCATAGCGCCATAGTTGTGCAATTTAAATTGATCCCATGGGCCTAAAATGGTCTTGGGAGGACCCCAAATGTAGCAACATTGTCTCGCATTACTCCCGGGGGATTTGAAGGGACATAAGGGGCTCATTCCCACTTATATTTACACCGGTTTGCGAATTGTGTTGACACTGGGTGGCTGAATCGACTGAGGCCGAGGCGTAGTGCCCACTATGGAAGCGAATGGTGTCAATGGTACTTGTAGTTCCCACTAGTGGCATTTGCCTAGCCACCTCAGAGCTTCTTGGGGGAGACCAGCTCTGGGGCGGCTAGGCCTCAGTCTGAGCCTCTCTGGGGCCGCAAGGCAGCAGCGAACCCTCAGAGGAAGGTCAAGGCTTCGGTTGGGGGGGGGGG